ACCTCATGTTCTCTGAGATCCCTTCCAGCCTGATGTTTAGTGTGTCTATTATGGTGGGGCAGGGAAGAAGTTGAGGTATGGCAGGGCCTGGCTCCCAAGTGCAGGGCCCAGGAGAGACACCCACTCTGGTTGAGCTGAGTCCTAGCTCCTCCCTTCAAGGGCAGTAACTCCATGCCTCTAAGATGTGACCTTGGAGGAGAGAAAGTAGGCCTTCAGGTCCCTACCTCCCTGAAGTGGAAGGCTCCCACATCCAGCCTGGATAGAGAGGGATAATTAAAAGGAAAGGAGGAGGGCTAGCTACTTTACCCATTGTGTCAGCCAGGGACTCATCTAATGCCAGTTTACTGAGCAGTTTAGGCAGGAGGGGCAGGAAAGACCTTTGCTGGAAAGTTCCTCGTGGGAAATGACAAAGGGGGCGTATACCCATCCATCTTTTGTTTGTTCAACTCATACCTCCTGGGCCTCTTAGACATCGGGGATGCAGAGAGAGGTAAAATGTCCCCCAGACAATAGATGAAGCCAGATTTGTGCACCTGATAGCCATGGGGTGGGCTCTAGCTGGGGTGTTTGCAGAGGTCAGAGGAACGCGGAGGTCTGAGCAGTAGACTCTGCCTGGGCAGTTGGAGAAGGCTTCACAGAGAAGGTGACACGTCAGGGATAGCCTTGAGGGATGAATAGGAGTCTACCAAATGGAAAAGGCTAGGAGGAAAAAGCACTGCAGACTAAGGTAAGAGCCAGAAAGAACAAGGTGTGTTCTGAGAATGGTTAGGAGCTCAGAGAGGGTGTATCTGGGATGTGCGGGTCAGTTCTATCCTTCTGCTAACATTCATTGAGAACCCACTGTGTGGAGGAAATGCATATGAGTAAGACACAGAGCCAGCAGCCTAGCAGGGGAAGCGGGTGTTTGGCAGATAACTGAAATATGGTGCCCTCAGTGCAGATAGAAGTCTTCACAAGGCACCTATGGGAACATGAGGCACACAGTGGACGGGAGGTGTGTGGCCGGGAATGGATTTGGGGAGAAATGCTGCTTCCTTAGCTGTGTGACCTTGGGCAGAATATTTAAACTCTCTGTACTGCAATTTTCCCATTTTAAAGTCAGGACAATAAAAATACCTACCGCACAGGGCGTTTTAAAGATTAAAAGAGCTTATACACGTGAAGCCCTTTGCCCAATACCTGGAACACAGCAATCACTGCATAAGTTAGCTGTTGTTATTACTGCTGAAGGAGTGGGCATTAGACAGGAGAGGAAGGTGATCTGGGGCAGTGGCCACCCCAGGATTTCTAGAGAGGTAGGGCCTACTAGAGGTAGTAATGCCGTTGGGATGCACTAGGGGACTTCTTCTTAAAGCCACAGTTTCCCCATCTGTTGTCCTTTTGCTCTGTAATATTCGCAGTTGTCTAGCCTACTTTTTTCCCAGGGGAGAAAATGTCAATGGTCCATATCAAAGAATATGCAGATAGAGGGGTGTCTAAAGAACAGCCCTGCTCTTGGTTCTCAGACGGAGGTTCTGGTTCCCAGGCCTTGGCTCTGGGCCTGGAGGCCCTGGCCGGGTCCAGCCCCAAATAGCCAACCACAGGGCTGGGTGCGGGGCGGAGAGCGAGGCCCCCCTGGCAATGCTCCCTGTTTCTCACCAGCTCAGTAGCTCTCACTCAGTGCTTCTTTGTCTGCTTAGCATCACTGCCCCCCTCCCCACCGCTGCCACCCCAGGCCTGGGGTGCCCCCCCACCCAAACCCAAACCCCACTGCCAATGAACTAAACAGCTCTTTTCTTCTTTGCACTTGGTCTAAGTGTGACCTTCCTTCAGGAAGGAGGGAGGTGAGGTAGGGGAAGCAGGGGGGTAAAAGAATGAATTGGAGGGGAGGAGGGGGTAGTAGGATTGGAGGGGCACCCTGCTTCCCCCCACCCCCCAGCGGTCAGGGAAAGGGGCTCTGTTTCTTGACGCCCCACCTCCTCACTTCCCACCACTGCCATCATCTCGGGAAATGCGTTCCCAGCTTATGACCCCGCCCATGTTTGCTATCTTGGCCCACACGCTTCTATCTGTGGCAAGCAGAGGCCTCGCCACCCTGCCAGATGGAAACACCAAGGCTGGGGAATGTGTCTATCTCAGCAGACTAAGGAGCTCCCAGAGAGCAGGAGAGCCTCTGAGAGTGGCTTCCTCTGTTTTCAAAATACAAGCACATTCATTAAAAATTGAAAACTCATAATCTCACATTACACAAAGTTTGAAACTAGAGCATGAAGGAGATTGCCCCCAACCCCTCCACCTTAACACAAGATCTGTTTTTATTTTGTCGGATTTCCACAGCCTAGTAAAGTAGATGCTCAAACATCATTCAAATGTAGACTGGATTAATAAAAGGTAACACAGAGCACTTACTAGGTGCCAGGAATTGCTCGAAGTGCTTCACATTGATGGAGCCATTTAATCCTCACAGCGACATGAGGTGGGCGTGATCATGATCATCCCCCTCTCCATTTAGAAACGTGGTAACTGAAACACAGAGAGGTTCAGTGACCTCCCTAAGGTCACACAGCCGGTAAGTACAGGAGCTGGTTGTTGAACCCTGGCAGTCTGGTGCCAGGGTCTAACGGTGTTGCTCTGTTTTTTCTTATCATCGCCGTTACTGCATATGCAGGTTTATAAAAGCTTTTATTTTTTATTTTTATTCTTTTTTTTTTTAAAGATTTTATTTATTTATTTGACAGAGACACAACGAGAGTAGGAACATAAGCAGGGGGAGTGGGAGAGGGATAAGCAGGCTTCCTACTGAGCAGGGAGCCCTGAGCCGAAGGCAGGCGCTTAACCGACTGAGCCACCCAGGTGCCCCTCCATAGTATTTTTCTTGGGCATTTAGGTTGCTTTCTGTTTTCCACTCTTATAAAAAAACAACAACGCAGGAATGAACATGGGGTATACTTCCTTAGAATATGCTACCAGAAATGTAATCATGCCTCTAAGGTCTGAGTGACTTTTCAGCCTCTTGGCACATATTACCAGTTGTTTGTTCAAGGGGTTGTGCATTCCCCAGCACCACATAAGAGTGCTGTCACTCATTCTGAACAGTACTTAGGCCTATTCATGGCTGAAGGATGTTTGGTAAAGACAGGGTAATTACGAAGGCAGAGAGCTAAAGAAGGAGAAAGATGATGACAGGGACTCAGGCTAAATTAAGCAAAAAGGGATCTACAATTTACCACAGACCTAGAGTGAGTCAGAACTCTGTTCATTCCCATTGTGAAAAAAAAAACAACAACTCGATAACAGGAGTTATTAATAGGGCATGGCATGTCGGGTAATCTTTCCGTTAGACTATGCATTAGTCAGGCCCTTATTTGAGACGTGGATCCAGTCTCGGTCTTTGAACTTCACAGAGATGTGAAGAAACTGGCAAATATCCAGAGAGCTCGATCAACTTGAGGGACGATGGAAGAATTCCAGAGAAGAGTCAAAAGAATCAAGCAGGCTCACTTTGGAAAAAATAAGACATCTTTTTTGCCTCAATGCTGGGAGGTTTCTGTAGAAGGGCCAACACTCAGTTGTTTGCTTATGTCTTCAGAAGGCTGACTACAAAAAAGGGGCTCCCACGAAGCAGGAGAAACTTTTGTATAAGGTAGAACTTTTTCAGACTCTGGGGTGATTATTTAAGTCTTGGGATGAGTGCTCTTTGGCCATTGGCCCTGGAAATATTTGAGAAGCTTCCTGTTCTGTTCTGAGTGGTTCAGATATCCACTTGCTTCCCACTAGGTGCCTCTGGGGGCCCCCTCCAGCTTTGTGATGACTGTTTCCTGGCAGTCGCCTGGGGAAGGGCAGGTGAGGTCTCAGGGAAGCGCTCCCCAGTTTCCCTGGGCCAGCATTCTCCTTTCTGGCCCCTCACATCCAATCAGGGTGTGCTTACAGCCAGTCAGGCTGGCATGTCATGACGTCATCTGACCCTGCTCTCCCAGCCCTGCGGTTCAGAGTGGACTTAGAAGCTGGGTGGGGGCAGTGAAAATGACTCAAACAAGGCCTTTTTGGTGACATGGAGAGTGGGACTGGCCCAGGAGACCTCAGGGCCATTTAGTTCAACCTCCTACAGAATAGCTTCCTACAACGCAACAGGTGCTTTACCTACATTCTTTTGAATTTGCACAACCTTGGAGACAGGGTTTCATAGATGTGGAATTGGAGATTAAGACAAGTTATTTGCTTGGGGTCACACTGCTGGTAAAGGATTGCCTATGTTATGCTGGCCTGGCAATACAATCTGTGCCCTTGACTATGGGGCATGCAGCCGAGAAAATTGTGGCCCAGAGAGGTGGAGCCTCCCACCCAAAGCCACACAGGCTGACCTGGGACTAGAATTCAGGCTCCTAACGATTTATCATGGAGTCTTCCCAAGACACGTGGCCTCTTCTGAAGCCTAATGTGGGGTGGCTGAGGATGTGGGCTGGCAGCCTGGCTCAAGTTAACTGAAGGGTAGCCAGCCTCTGGACAAATGCTCTGCCCTCCAGACTCTGCTCCTAACCAACGTTGTGAGAAGCCAGCTTCCAGGAGGGCCTGCCGGGGCAAGGGACCCGGCTAGGCTGTTTCTCGTGGAGCCAATATATGGCCAGGGCAGAGCCAGCGAGGTGTATGAAAAAACTCTGACGTGGGGTCAGAATCTCCGGGTTTTGGTCCATGCTGGGACCCAAGCAGGGACCTATGGCAAGTCACTTAAAACTGAATTTCCTGATCTCAAAACCAGGCAAGAGTAAACCGCACTTGAAGCGCGCGGACGCAAAAGCAGGAATTGTTACACGCCAAAGCAGTACCATCTGATGTTAGTTTCGCTTGCTATTGAAACGTCTGGCCTTGCGGCCCCAGCGAGGCCAAGACTGCAGCGGAGGGGGAGAAAACTACAACTCCCAGGAGGCACCGGGAGGGCCCGTAGGCGGACAAAGGAAGAAACTACAACTCCCAGGAGGCACCTGGCGGGCCGGCGCCGGGCAGTGACGTTATGGGGGCTGGCGCGGGGCGCTGATTCGGCCGGAGCTGCCAGCGGGGTGGCTGCCGCCGCGGGTTGTTACAGCTGCTGGAGCAGCAGCGGCCCCGGCCCCCGGGCACCCCTCCTGGGCCCTAGACCGCCGGCCCTGTACGGTGAGTCCGGGCTAGCGGCTTCGGGGTGGCCGAACCGGGAGCCTCCTCTTGGGGCTAGAGGCGGGGCGGGAAAGAAGGTGGGGGCTGCTGGGGAAGCGCCCCGGGCTGAAGGGGACCTGGGCAGGGTGAGCGGAAGTGGGAGGAGGTGCATCAGTCGAGGGGGTGCATCAGCCGAAGGGATGCCCACAGAGGAAAGTGGCGGGGGCGGGGGGAGACCGAGTCTAGGGTGTCGGGAGGAGTGCTCGGGCCGGGGGAGGGGATGGGGAGAGGCTTGGCTTCGGGGATAAAGGTTTGGCCGCCTCCAGGGCTGGGTGAACCCGTGGAGGTGGGGGTGGGGCTTCGGGCCGGGCCGGGCCGGGCCGGGCCGGGCTGGCCGGGCTGGCCGGGCTCCGAGTGCGAGGTCCCAGGCTGGGGAGCGGAGCGGAAGGCCCCTCTTCGGCTTGAGGTCCCGCGCCGAAAATCCCAACAATAGCATAGACTCCACCTCCTCGTTCCACTCTCTTCCCCAGCTAGTGGGGGTTCGCCCCGGTACTCGCCGTCTTTCCATTCCCACGGCCCTCGCGAGTCCGGGAGGCAGGGCCCGAGCTGAGAGGTGAGCGACTGTGGCCCTGCGGGTTGGGCGGTGGGCCCGATGAAAATGGCATTGTGGAATGCTGCCAGGGTCTCCCCGTTGGGCTTGGATGTTTTGTGCTCCTCCTCTAGAAGGCAAAAGGTTTGCTGCTTAAAGGCTGCCCTTACTTGGGGGAAAGAATGGGAAGCGCTCACCTGGCAGATGTCCTGGGGCGCACTGTGGCCCAGGCTTAGGTGCCAGATTGACAGGTTGGGCAGGGATATTTGTGTGCGGAGCCAAGGGGGGGAAGGGAGGGAAGGAGTAGAAAAGAGCTACCAGCAAGAAAGTAGTTAACAGAACGGAGTTGCTACAGGCTTTGGTTGGAGGCAGGTTATGAAAGCACATCAGGCACTGCCGGGGCAGCCCCCTGCCAGCTAGGGCAACAGAACTTTTCAGCCTCAGCCGCTGTAGACTCACTCTGCCTCTGCCAGGCTCTTCTCCCCATTTCTTCCCTCTGGGCGAGGGGCAATTGGGTTTTTTGTTTAGTTTTGTTTTACTAATGGAAGTGATATGTACCCTTAGTCACACAAACCTCTTAGGAGTGCTTTCTGGCTGCCAGTCGTTTTCTTAGTTTCTTGATTTCTTCTGTCTTTTGGGGGGTCTTCTGGGATTTCTGCTGTCAGGGCAACTAGTGTTCGGTCTTCAGGAAGATGCTTCCGAGGGTACCAGTTAGGTCCTAAGTCTAGGCCCCTCCTAGACTCATTGATCTTCATTGGATGCCCTGTCTCAGCAAGAAAGAAGTGTAGGATGATCTGGGATTCAGCAAAGCCCTTGGTACTGCTAGACAAATTACCAGGGACGGCTACAGGTCTCTGCACTCCTACACCTTTGTTTATCTAAGTTAGGGAGAAATGGGGAGGGACAGCAGTTTCTGGTCAGACTTGGGGAGCTCTGCCTCTCTCCTTAGTAGTAAGTCCTTCAGAGGCCTTACTTCTTAGCCAGCTCCCCACCGCCCCAGGCTTTTGCGTAGTACGTGTCCCAGGAGCTGTGTTAGGGCAACTGAAGCTCCAAGGCCCTGGGAAGGTAAATAACCGAGCCAGTCCCGGTTTTCTAGTTCCTTGGGTTTCTGTTAGGCCCAATTATCCGGCCTAATGGGCTGAGCTGATGGGCCCCAGGAGCATTACTTCTGGGATGCACCCTGGGCCATCTCACGCATGTTTGCATGTTGGGAAGGTGTGTTGTGGGTCACATTTCTCCTGAGGTCTCTTAGCCTAGAGCTCCCTGAGAAGAGGAAATTTGTTCTCATTATTCTGGAAGTAAGGAACCGATCCTTGAGAATCCTGGCTCCCACACAGGCTTGGCTGTGATCCTAGCCAGAGATAGATAGCAGCGGAATCTGAGGGGGGTTGTTGCAGCAGGGTGAGGGAGATGGCCTTCTGTGTACTTTCCGGATACCCCCATCTGGGACCCCTTTCTGCACCCCCAGGAAAGATAGGATTGTTTCCATGGTGATGACCTAAGGTCTTTATCAGGCAGGACCCGCCCTCACCTAGGGAGGTGAGCCAGTACAAAGGCAGTCTGTTCCCACCTCCTGCTGGTTCCAGGGCCCTTGGGGATCTGGGGACAGCCGAGCTCTAGACAAGGGGCTGCTCATTCCCCTCCTTTTGTGCATCCAGAAATGCAACTGGGTTGCATTGTTTCTGGGGCATCAAGGGCAGCCCTCCTGGTTCCTCCTGCTGCAGGACTTCTGCCACTGGAGGTGGGCAATGGAAAGCATGGTGCAGGTGCTGGGGAAAGAGGCTGAGGTGAGGCTGGGCCAGGCAGAGAGGAAAGGGGGCAGGAGACAGGCCGCAGGGGTAGTTTTTGTGTCCTTGGGAGGGGCGTGTTGATGTGGATTTCAGCGACTCGTGGGAGCTGCAGACGTTGGCCGCGTTCTCCATCCTCGCCCCTCCGATGGTGGGGAAAAGGGCACTGGTGATTTGGCAGCAGAGTGGGTGGCATCACAAGGGTTAGCCTGAGTGGCTGTCAAAAGGATAAAACATCTTGCCTGGGTTGTTTTGTGTCACCAAGAAAGAGGCCTCCAAGTCTGGGCAGAGGTTGTCCGTAGTCTGTTGTCTTCTCTTTTCTTCCCTCTCTCCCTCTTTCCACTCTGTCAGTTCTCCTGGATCAGGGTTGGGAGAAATCCAGGATTGGAGAATTAGGGGAGAGAGTAGAAGCAGTGACCCCTATATATTGCATCTCCTGCTGCCTGTTCTCACGGGCCCCACCCCCTTTTGTTCATTCTAATGGTGCGGGGAGCTCAGAGTTAGGAGATGCCGCATATCAGGCCCTCGGCAAGATAGTCCAGAGGGATTATGTTGTGTGATTCTGAGGGGACAGGCCTCTTCTCCCCTCCCCTGGACCTTCTGGGAAGAGGACCCTCATGGGAATGTTCTGGAAGATGAGATTGGGGAACAGGCAGTGGTTTCTTTGCTCTGGGCTGGATGCCTCTTGATGACCTATCCACCCAGGCAGTCCCAGTGCCTGGAGGGGCACCATCCGGCAGTGTGGGGCAGTGTGGGGCGGCCTGGTGGTGTTTATCCCAGTTGAGAGCGGTGGGAAATGAATGGAGTTAAGTCCACACAGCCTTTCTTGGGCCTCCTTGCTTGAGAATCAAAGCTGAACTGCCCGGAGTTCTTGGGGAGAGCAGAGCCTCCCTCCCTGAGGGATTTGGGCGGCGTGAGGGGGCAGGGAAAGTGGTGTGACCTGTCTCACCGGTGCCGCTTGTTTGCAGAGCAGTGGCACGAGAGGGGCGGCAGGATGAATGTGGGCACGGCACACAGTGAGGTGAACCCCAACACGCGGGTGATGAACAGCCGCGGCATCTGGCTGTCCTACGTGCTGGCCATCGGGCTTCTCCATGTCGTGCTGCTCAGCATCCCCTTTGTCAGCGTCCCTGTTGTCTGGACCCTCACCAACCTCATCCACAACATGGTGAGGGTCTGCCTGCTACCTGCCCAGGCCATGTGGGCTGCTCTTTGGTGGGGCTGAGGAGTCGGAGGAGCCCCCCCAGACGTGGGCCAGATGTCAGGGTGACGTGCTGACAACATCTGTCACCGGAGCCCGGATGCATCTCTCATCTCTGCCTCCTCCCGACTTCTGGGTTCCAGCCGCGTGCACTCTGAGGATGACAACCTGCAGATTTGTGCACATCTCCAGCATGGGGTGGCTTGGGGACCTGGAGGGAGGGCCACTAGGAGCTGAACTAGGGGCTCCAGAGAGTCCCCAGGACCCAGGCGCCTAGCCTGGCACAGAAATGCCCCTCTCCTGAGTCCAGATCTCCAGCCATCTTCTACTCCAGCCCCTCTGCACCCTCAGCCCTTGCTTGCTAGCTTGTACTCTGGCAGGCAAGCAGGGGCCATCCGCTCGTCCCCAGCTCTCTGGCACAGGGAAGCTCACATTGGGCCAGAGGGGCATTTCTGCAGCTAAGTTCTCCCCATGCCTTATCCTCATGCCAGGCCTGCCCTCTCACCCTGTGGGTCCCCTCTGTCTCCTGTCAGGCTCCCAGCTGCTCCATCCTGACCTCCAGCCCACAGCCCTCTGCCCCTCAGAGGGCAGCTCCACATAACCCAGAGCCCACTTTTTTGGGGTGGAGGAGCTGAGCTGGAGGGCCTTTTGCTTTTTGTGTCCTCTAACGAAGGCCCCTCCCTCCAGGGCATGTACATCTTCCTGCACACGGTGAAGGGGACACCCTTCGAGACTCCGGACCAGGGCAAGGCGAGGTTGCTAACCCACTGGGAGCAGATGGACTATGGGGTCCAGTTCACAGCGTCTCGGAAGTTCTTAACCATCACACCCATTGTGCTGTGAGTGCCTTCAGTAGAGAAGGACGCCAGCAGGAGGCCGGGGCCTGGGAAACCCTGGACCCTGCCAGGCTTAAACCTGCCCCGGCTCTGGCTTTTGGCATGGGCGGAGGAAGGGACTTTGGAGTATCCCCGGGTCCTCTGCTGGGCTCAGGCCTTGTGCCTCCCTGACCCTGTCTTTCACCAAATGGGCCTTTCTGCCTGCCAGTGATGTAAGCCCACAGACCTGGGGTCAAGCAAGGGGACTGGGTTGGGAGGGACCTCTTTAATGGGGTGATCTTGCCACCCTGCTTCTGTTCTGGGGGTCTTTCCCATAACTCCTCAGCTATCAGGGATCTGCCACTCCCCACCCAGGAGTGAGGGAGGAGGGGTCCTCCAAACAGAGTCTTATGCCTCTTCCCAACCTTCCCACCCAGGTACTTCCTCACCAGCTTCTATACCAAGTATGACCAGATCCATTTCATCCTCAACACTGTGTCCTTGATGAGTGTGCTCATCCCCAAGCTGCCCC